ACTTTATTTTTCTACTGTCCACTAACATAAGTATCCTACCACCAACTATGAACTCATTTAACCTATCACCTTCCATGATCAAACGTTTACAACCACCGAATAAATTATCGACATCATAACATCAAACACGTTGGAATTGTGTAGCTGCCCTCATAAATACAACAAAATAGAATATATATCAAAATTTCTTTTATTAAAATAAAAGAAGCAAAGTATTCTCCAGAAATAGTACAAAATGTAAATTACAAATATAAGTAAGCAAACGTTGTGTATCAAATAATGGAATTAATACTTGCTAGTGTTTGGATCTTGTACATGATAAGTACTCTGTTGTTTGTATTGTTTTGTTTATTTTCTATTTTAATTGTGAAAATCATAAACATACACTATGAAATACATCAAAATAAGACAAGTTATACAAAGAATAATAGTACATGTGTTATTAGATTAATTATGATTGTAACTTCAATAAGTTATATTCTTCTATTCATAACATAAAAGATAAGTAGTTAAAGGGAATCAATGAAAAGAAATTTATCATACAAGAAATGGGATCACATGAAATAATAACTGATATAAGTGATCTACTATTGAAAGTAAATGTTGGTATAATTATGAACGTTCTTTTCTTTTTTTTAAATTTCTCTAATAAAATCATACAATTGAAGAAGTATTTACCTTTTCGAACATCATTTTGCACATTTATGATAAAACAATGGAAGTCGTAATATATATATATATATATATATATATATATATATATATTGTCTCTAAAGGTTGAATTAATATATCTTTATTGAAACATTGTATAACTATGCCATCAATATAAACAATAATAAATTAACAACATACTTACAAAATAGTCTTATACAAGGTTATCACTTCTTTATTATACACACATATACGCATTATAAATGAAAATGATAATACAGTTAGAAATGATTGGAAGTATCCAAATACAACATATTCAATATTCAATAGGTGTATAAATGAGACAAGCAAGATACAACGAAACAATCGTCAACAAAATCATCCACTTGAACCAAAAAAAACAAGAACAGAACGAGAATAAAGTAGATTGATTATAGAGAAGAACAAAGAGAAAAATCTATTTTCTAATAAATTGACCAGAATTACTTGATAATTAATAAAGATTAAAAAAAAAAGTGTTTTTCAATACAAATAAATAAGATGGTAAGGTGAAAGGTAAGAATGTAAAAAAAGAGAAAAAAACACAAAACAAAACGTGTTTAACCATTGAGAAAAGGTTTGTATTTGTTTTTCTCTTTTTCTGTCCGTTAGTTAATACTTACAACAAGAGAATAAAAATAACTATACACACGAAAGAACTGATGTATATAGCTGTTATTATAAATAGCATGTATATATATATATATATATAATAAGTATGATTAATACAAATAGAATAGTTTATAAAATAAATACACCATTATTAATATCATTAAATAATTGTTGATCTACTAGTTGATAAACTTTTGTTTTCGGATTTAAAAAGTATACATGATCATTTGGATCAATGTTTGGATCGAAACCAAGACGACTGATTTCTGCTTTGCTAATTTTAAATGTACCTAAATAAAAGAATAGAATAATAAACGAGACTTTCTTAAGAAAAAAAAGAAAGGCGGAATGAAACCATTTTTTTAACAATCATAAATTAAACTTCATTAAAAATACATTTAATCTCAAATATTCATATGAAAACACGTTCACATAAAGTTTTTACAATGTTGTTATATTATTAAACAAATTTGATAAATGTTCAATTCATGTTCCAATCAACAAGAGGTTAAAAGAAATAAAAATTCATCCAGTCAGTCATCTACAATGTAGGACCAGGCAAATTTATGCATCGGTCTAAGATGCCATACCGCATTATCACAACAAGATCAACATTAAATTCATAGAAGTAGTTAATTCAATGGTGGTAATATATAAAAGAAAGATTGCATAAAAGGATATGGTACAAGAAGAGAGAATTACTTCGTAGAAAGAAAGATATGGGGCAATTTTAATCTCTTAGTTTAAAGGAAGACAGTGTGTATACATCTATGCCATTGTGATCGATTCTGAGTCATGTCACCAAAAGTCTCCAACCATTGGTTACGATAGTCACGCGGACCACAACCAAGTTATATCGAAAACTTGTGAGTAGTGGAGGCTCTGAGAATGCATCTTTTTACCGCCAATCTCACTACGATCATCATCATTGATAGAAGAAGTAGTAGTGGTTATTAATATTTTATAATTTTTATGAACATCTGTTCGTCCTTTCTATACTTTTTTATATTCGTCAAACAGTCAAGTAACATTTCATAATTTTTACACATAATACCATTCCATCTTACTCTTCCCTTCTATGAATCCGGTGTTCGTCTTGCTGTGCTAATTGAGGTGTGTCAACTTGAACCGATGCATGTATGCGCCTGATCCTACGTCGTAACTGACTAACTCTTACTCTTTCTCAGTATATTGGTACAATGTAATTAATAATATTATGTTCAAATACAATCAAACTTCCTACTTAAGTCATTTGAAAATAACAAATTTCATTGATAACACAAGTTATTTCCAGCTGACAATAGTAAACAAATTGATAATGCATTATCATATGTAACTTCCTAATTAATAAAACAAGTAAATGATAAAATGGATATGAAATTAGAATGAATGTTTGAAATACATTTTGTACTAATTGTTTCCGATATATTTAACAGTATCTATTATCATCTGTTATACATTACGTTTCTGTAAATAAACAACAAACAAACATTACTTCAAATTCAATGTAGCAACAACAACAAGAACAACAACAAAAGATCAATAACTTAATTAAAGGTTTGTTTATCATTTTTTTGCCAATATCATAAAATTTTCATGGTGTGTGTGTGTGTGCATGATATCTTTTTGTAAAGCTTAAACTATTCCAAGTGTTAAATGAATATTCAAGTTTAATTCTTTCGTTCTTTGCTGTCGATTTTTTTCTTTCTAATTTTGAGACTGGAACTTAGTTGTGTTTTTTCTCTCGTTTTTCTCTTGAACAGATATCTTTTATTATCAATAAATAAAGCTTTAATAGCAAGTAGTATATTGTGAATTCATAGAAAAAAAAGTTGTTTTAAAAAAATGAGAGAAAAAACAACAGGACTTTAGTACGTGAACGTGAATGTGACAAAGTTTAATTATCACCTTAGTTGTTCTTTTTTTCAAAATTATTATTATTATTATTATTATTATTATAGTGTAGTGTGGTATTGTGGTGTATGCAGATTTAGGTAGTATATAACACCAGTCGGAAGTGGAATGTCTGTGAGCAGAAGATTGAAATGAAGAGAAGTGTGTAGAAAACTGAAAGCAATGAAGATAACAACAGAAATGTGGGAACAATGAAGCCTGTAAAAGACAATTCAAAGATGTATGATTTTCACATTTTACTATACCACTGAGTGATTATGCATTCAACAGTAGATTAGTTTTCCCCACTTAAGTCCTCATTTATAACAGTATTATTATTTATTTTATTTTATTTTAACACATAGATATTGGTACAAAGGGGCACCGTATACATGTGCGCCATACAAATCATTCGACTTGTGTGAGGGCTGTGATACATAGCATTTGGGTGAAATAAATTATCTTACGTAATTATGCCATATCAAAGTAAAAGTAATATGAATTTCTAGTTCTTAATGACATTTTTATCAACAGATTAAATGAATTCAAACTACACATAGACAGACAATATCAGTATAAAACTTGCCATAGATGTGCGTTGGCCCAAACTACCAAACCAGATTACCATAACGAGTTGAAAATAAGAAAAGAGACCGAAATAATCTAGTAATAATAACGATAAAAAGAAGGACTGAACCAAGGGAATATGGTTTCAAAAAAGAAGTATTCAGGTGTGTATGAAAAATCGTGGAATTAATTAAAGATTGAGGGAAAGATGCGGAGTGAATGTATCTGTGTTATATTGCACTTTATAGTATTTCATGATGACTGAATGAAAATAATCCAGATCACAGCTTGGATGTTTTTTTTCTCTACTGAACTACATCAATACACTTATCAGCTGAACTACTATGACTGAATTACATATGACCAATCAACATCTAATTGGAACATATTAATTCATCGTATTACACGTGCATAAGAACATAATCACATTGACAGTAAAAAAAACATTCACATGAAATAGTAAATTTTTTAAAAAAACATAAACTCGAAGTTCAGAGAGTAAACTAACAATTAAATTGGTGTGTATAACTCCCCGTGAAATATAGAAATATATCAGCCGGACAAATATAAACAATATATGATTCGGCACTAGATATGTGTCAGTGTTCTTAATATCTACACTTTAGATATGCAGGATGGATGATAGCGTACTACTGCACAAAAATTACAGCAATCTATCTAATGAATGGATATGAACAAAAGTATCCCTAGTGAAAACCATTTGACATATTAAATTTATTTAATAGGATACAGTGTGGTGTATGCTACTTATAACGACAGATATAAGTAGTATGTAACAGCAATTGAAAGTGGGAACTTTGGCAGCAGAAAGTTAAGAAGATCAAAATGAAGAAAATACAAGGGGAAATAAAAAGGAATTGCCAATAGGAAGAATCATATTTATTTATTGATTATTTATTTATTTTAACATATAAATATTGATAGAAAGGGGTACTGTATACATGTGCGCCACACAAATCATTCGACTTGTGTGAGGGCTGTGATACTGCCTGGGTGCCCAAACCGAAGCAGGTGATTTTCATAGAGGAACACACACGGAGCGTTCGACCTAAAGGTCTGATCCACAGGGCAGTGCAGCAACGTAAGGAGATGCGGTCCCATGATAGTCGGTGGCCAACAACAGGTTCATACTTCATTTGTTCCTTCAGGATTCTGGAGCCCATGTACACCATTGGTTTGGAATCAGGGTTTTCCAACTCTGTGTCTACCAACCCAGTTAAAGCGCCGGACATTCGCTTTTCATCCTCTCAATTCCGTAAACAATAATGCCGCGAGAAAGCAGTGAGGCACAAATGAAATAATCAATGTGCAGTTCTCATATTTTACCAAGGTGTTATGTAATGTTATACAAAAATAAATTTGGTTGTCCCCATCTGTGTTCTCGTTCATTACAATAGTAGGATTATATTAAGGTTTTCTTTTTTATTACACTCAAATTTATAAAAGGAAGTACATAAATGAAGCATTTAGGTCCAATATTGAATTCTAATAAGATTTTAAAATTAAGTCGGTTTATTACAATCAAGTTCAATTACGTAATAGGTTCACTTACACAGATCACATGTGTCGTGTCACAATATTATATAACGTGGATTAAAAGTGCAAAATCAGCAATAAAAATCAGAACGATTTGTAAAGAATAGTTTTATTACACACTATCTATCACTTACTCTAGACTAACATCACGGCGGTGCCAAAGATGGCGCAGATTGGTACATGGCGCTCTGGCTTTCACTATATGTGAATTGATCTCATCACTCACTCTACTATCAGCTATCCAGATACACGAAATCGACTATTTCTAACTGCTTACTACCAAGAGTGAATGAAGATGCAGGGTCCTGCCAGTCTTGTGAAAGTACTTTGCACTTCGAAGGTGCAAACAACATACCATTCCTACAGATACTTATTTCCAACTGATTAACTGCGGATTGCATGGCTTGAGTATTATCGCACAGCAATACAATATCATCCGCATATTCAAGGCCGAGTTTTTCTCCAAGAAACAGATCTACACCACCGTAACCTACATCGATTAGAGCTGTTTTCAGAACGTCATCGATAGCAAAACTGAACAGTAGTGGTGAGATTGGGCAATACCAATGCTTGAATGGAATCATAGAGAGGGATGGTTGCATGCACTCAATCTGCCTAAGGTATGGCCTTCAAGCTGTCAATAAACTTCTCCGGTACACCCTTCTTCAATACACAGTTTCAATGAGCAGCCCTATCTAACGAATAGAAGGCGGTCCTGACCTCAACAAACGCAGAGATTGTTGGCCTGCAATAAGTATGGCGGTGTTCTAACATTTAGCGGAGCTTGGATTACATGACTTGAAATCAGTTGTAATGGATCATTTACATTCATTCTCCAATTCATGAATCTCGAGCTTAATAACACTAATACCTTTTTATTCTTCGATTTTATGCGTTCATTTTAACTCTCTTACATTGAGTGATGTTTTTATTTATTGATTTCATTGTACCGTGTTGATGTACAGAAAGGCAACTTGAACTGCTCTAAATATACGCTGAATCTTAGATTGTTAACACTAATGATTTACATTTTCGAAATTTTTCAAACAATTCACTGAAAATCCACTAAAACACTCAAACCAACATGTCCGCGACTAAGCATCTGGGGTAGCTTCTTAGTCTTTTCTTTTTTTTGAGATAAACTTACCAATATTTTTCGCTTATAATTTAAATCTAAAAAACTTGATTTCATAAAATACGTAGGTTTGAGATTAGTAGTGAAATTCAGAACATGCGTCTAGTTTTATTTGAGACACGCCGGATGCGTATAAATGCATCTAAATTTATGTTCACAGTGGGACTCAAGCCTGGAACGTTTCGTTTCAAATGCTACTGAGTCCAGTGCTATTAGAACAGTAGCGATTTGTCTATTTCTTTGTATTACTATTAATACTATCGCATCAGTATAAAGATGTAGGCTTGATCACATGTGACAGCCTACACACATAACTCTCTAGCTTAAATGTTAGTCAGTTAAATATGCTTGAATCCTTTTTATTGCTTAGCTTTGATTTGACTATGTATTCACTTGCTCGTGAGCATTAGCTTTTCTGCTCACATTCACTTGAGGTGCTTGTAAGTTTTTTATCTGAACTCAACATTGATAAACTGTAGTCGGTGTTGGACAATTGGTATAAGAAACCTAAAGAATTGTCTCGATAACAAGCCACTCAGGATATAGAGGATGACATTCACACAAGTTTTAATAATGATACTAATAAACTTGGATTTGAGGAAAATAAAATAAAAACCTGATATGACCTTAGATAACATCATATGGAATATAAACCTACCTACACAAAAAAGAACGTTTAATCAGTCACATAAAAATTATAATAATGAGTAAAAAAGAAGTGAATTGAACATACCAGTCATCGTCAGATTTTGACACAACCGTATGAATAGAGGACGTGCATAAGAAGGCAAGTTCCCTGTAAACTCTTCATTTATTCGGCAAAGCAAATTTTCTTCCTCTATAGAAGTAAGTTTTGATCCTTCTAATGCAATAGCAGCCATTCCAGCTTTCCCCTCTGTCCCAGGAATAGAAACACCGAATACAGTCCCAGTTAATGTTCCAATAGCTTGATCTAAAACACGTTCAACTTCTGAAGTGGATACATTTTCCCCATGCCATCTAAATGTATCACCTAACCGATCGATAAAGTACATATAGCCCAATTCATCACAGCACATTAAATCCCCTTAAATTAAAAGAGAATAAAAATGAGTTTAAGTATTTTTTTATGGGCTAATTCAACCAAGGAGTAAATTTTAGTCTCAAAAATATAATTTATGAATAGTAATTTTGTATGATCTACTTTTGAAAAACAAACAAATTTGTATTTAACTTTTGTCAAACAATTTATTAATATCAGATGGGGTTTTTTTGTGGAGGTTGTAGTAATTTCAATGGTTAAGATCATGAGTCAGTGCTTCCGAATTTTTCATGGTGGTCTAGCTTCAACTGACTTATGATCTTAACCATTGAAGCAATTTATTACCAAACTGTCTCTTACATATCACCATATATATTTGAGCACAGTAGTTATAAATCACATCATCGCCTGACTAACCTTTTAGTAACTCTTTCACAGATAACATTTTTGTCACCGGATTAATAATTAACATCGGATCATACTAGTAATTATTATTTAAATATCTATAATTCATTGTCGATATGTTTCACTAAAAATAACATTACTTTTAAAGTTGAAAAAGAAACAAATTATATATGGTAACTTAAAATTCAAAATAAAGCTATCTGCGATGATGAAGATTTGTAGCTCAAATGGATGAATTAGGTTAGGTTCTATTTTTGAGCTGGATGATTTGGGTGTGGATGATGTTGTTCAGAAGAACAATTAAAGCTCCACAACCAAACCATCCAGTTTAAAGAACACAACTCCACCTAAAACCTATGTACATCAAAACAGCGTATTAAAAGTATCATAATTTGAAATAGGTTTACTCCTTCCTTCGGTTACAATTAAAACTTGATATTGATTTATGTTTAATTAAAAGACATTTGACAGATTCAAAATTGACAAAAGAAAGTGATAACAATGTTGTATGGTTTAGTAGTTAAACCGAAGGACATTCAATCTAATAGGGTAAAATAATTCTAAGATTATTCATCTACTTCCGTTTGAACAAATCAGTAACAACACAAACTGTAGTTCAGAGCTGAGTACAACATATAGTATTAGATGGAGTTACAGTGAGTTAAAGTTGATTAAGATTGTAGGTATCATTACCAAGATTTGATTTGATAATTTCGAATAAATTAAGCATTCGGTAGATTGTTATTTTCCACTGTATTAGTTAAACTTGAATTAATTTTAACTTGGATAATTATTCTCTGAAGAAGTGGCTTACACTGAGTCACGAAACGTCAGAATATCTATTTTTTCTACTCATTGGGATATTAAAAATATATTATTTCTTGTTGATTAAGATTATTTTAATAAAAGTACGAATGGATTAATAACGAAGTATTTATTCAAACCAGTAATTAATATAACACAACATAACATCAGGTATGTACGTAACACATTCGATACTGTGATATTACTATGATTTTAAAATCTATGCCAGTACTAATTAGCAACGTTACCAAGAATTATTCCAAGCATAAATGTGAGTCTAAATGATTAAACATTCACAAGACCAAAACTGGTGTCTGAAGTAGCAGTCAGTCAGCTACAACATGGGATCAGACACATATATGCATCGGTCTAAGATGCCATACCTCATTAAGACAACAAGATCAACATCAAATTCATAAAAGCAGTTAATTCAGTGGTGGTAATATATAAAAGAAAGATTGCAATAAGGATATAGTACAAGAGAGAATTACTTTGTAGAAAGAAAGATATGGAGCAATTTTAATCTCAGAGTTCAAAGGAAGAAACTGAGTGTATACACCGACGCCATTCTAATCGATTTTGAGCCATGTCACACACAGTCTCCAACCATTGGTTACGATAGCCACGCGGATCACAACCAAGTAGTCTGCATCTACCAACATGGCTCAAACTAGAAGTTAGTGACTTCAAGCATTGATACCACGTTTTGGTTTGGCTGCCCCTAACTTTCTTCCAACCATCCCCAACACCAATAAGCATTGCGCGTCGTGGTAATCGGTGGTTAGGGATACGTAACACGTCGATGAAGCTTCACAACCTCATTAATTGATTTACCATTATGTTTGAAGTAGCATGATTAAGACGTCACAAAATAAGTTTAGTGGGAAGAAATTTTCTTTCCCAATTAGTTCCTCATCAAGGCTGTACTCTAATACATAAGCTCTACAATTAAGGATAAAATTAAATGCAAATAAATGACAGTTGATCATTTCAGCAACGAATCAGTTAGATACTCAACGGATGTAGAATTAAATCTAAAGATAAGACCACATAATCGGTTAATCAATGACAACTTGTTACGTAAGAATAAGAATTAAGTTCGTTCGAAATTAAGCAATTGAATATAAATAGCTGATGTTATTTTGTAAAATTATCAGTATGTAATTAATAAAATTGCTGCGAGAAAATAAAAATTACGCAATTAGACTATTAAGCTAGATAGATAGATCACGTAAAATAAAGTTATAAATTAAAACTGAATAGAACTGAAATCGATTAATGTCCTTAAGTATATCTTGTTCAGTAAGGTTTCAACAATAGTGAAAATACAAGTGACAAATGTGTTATTAGTCAATTATTCAACTTATTTACGACAGTTTTTAGCAGGATTTAATCAAAACAGTATGACCATGAACAGCATAGGTAGTTACATTCAGGAAATTTATAAGTGTAATGCATGCATGAATAGGCTGTAATAAGTGTTCGCGCGCGAGATCAGTAGGTCCTGAGTTCGAATCTCGCGGGGCGGGATCGTGGATGCGGATTGCTAAGGAGCCCCACAGTAGGACGAAACGGCCATCCAGTGTTTTCAGGTTTTCCATGGTGGTCTAGCTTCAATTGACTCATGATCTCAACAATTGAAACTATTATTACAATTAAGATTTAACCAAAATAGCACAATGATTAAGAAATTATTAACAGTTTGTTTTTACCTCTTCTCTTATTCTTTGACTGACCTAATAATCACTTGTATGCTAAGATTATACAAACAAAATGTATTGAGTTATGTTTGTCCATACGACACTCCTTATTGAAATATAAGAGTTTTCTCAAAAAGACTTACCTCTTACACTGATTGATCAATGTTATGCTTATCTGACTTTTATTACTGATCGAATTTTATTGATCAAGCTACAATGTATCCACTAATCTACATGACTGGCTATCATGTGCACTATTTTTATATGTTAGGTAATTAGAGGTAACAGGTAGAAAACCGTGAACCTAGGTATCGTGTTAATTGGCATTCGTCCGCAATGCATATCTACCATCTTCAATAAAATAGTGTTCATTGTTGAATTTTAAACCGAGTCACTTAGTTCCATAACCTGAGACACTATAACCAGACTATTCGCGCCCAGATTAACTTTCTGTAGAACTGAGGTGTTTATGCAATGAACCTAATGTTGAGTCACGTAGACTGGTGATCATATTGGGGCTTGATTGATATAATTCAATCAACATATCAGCCAAGGCTCAACGATCAGTCAATGTAAGTATCTAAATCCTGCAGGAAGTCAATAGCAAAACAAATAACAGTGGTAACGTCTCAGATTACAAAGCTGGGTGACATCAGTTCGAAGCATACTGGGAGGATTGGTTCCGTCTGAAATTATAGACTAATTTTTGCTTCTCATTTCCATATGTTGTTGTACTGATGTCCTTACTATTCTCACTCGGTTGTGTCAAGCCTAGGATAACACCGTAACTTTTATAAAATCAGTTAAAGCACTCCTGTATTCAGTGACATTCTGAACACATTAGTGCTCATAAAAGAAGTGTACCTGTTACATATCCTTATACTCAAAAACATTGTTAACAAAACGTTCAAAGCGTAATTGTATTGAAACAAGTAGCATTTAAAAATAAGCTCACAACATAGCAATGATATATATTTAATAACTTCTTACCAGAAGCAAACCATAAATCACCCTTACGTAAAACATTTCGAATAATTTTCTTTTCGGAAGCTTCCGAATTAACATAACCATCAAACATTCGAAAAGGATCATTTGAACCGATACGTGCTACCAAATGACCAGGTTCATTTGGTTCACACAGTATGCATAATCCAGTTATGGGATCTCTAATAGGTTCTTTAGTGTCTACATCAATTTTAATGATATAGCATGGATAAAAACCATCAATGATTTTTGAAACATAACCAACTGCACCAAACTGGAAGAAAAGTAAGCAAAGAAAGCAAAACAACATCGATAAGTTCATAAAATAGAGAATTATAATAACTGTTAGTAATTTCAAAGATCTTCTACAGCAACATGGGAATGAGGTGGTAAAATTTACAAAAAAATCAACTTTGGGTTATAATATTTCTTTTCGATTAGTAGATCAAAGTAGACAAATAATGTCACCTTGTAACTCTTGTACTCAAGTAGAATTTTAAAAATTTCATATTATGCCTAATCAGAAATTTAATCACGTCAATGAAATCAACGACATGATCGACTAATCAATGTACCATTTTATGATAGTATACGCTAAAGATTGATAAACATCCCAATAAACATTAAAAAGTACAATTAAATAAATCCATATTTTCAGAATAGTGGTTTGTGGGAATTTTAACAGTGAACTTAATGAGTCGATTTAACTAGACCACCACTGAATACCTGGAAGCACTTGACGGCCGTTTCATCCAAGTATGAAACTTTTCAGCAGTGAGCATCCACGATCCCGGATATGGGATCATATTTAGGATGAAACGGCTGTCAGGTGCTCCCAGATTTTCAATGATAGTCTAGCTCAGATCAACTCATGAATTCAACTGTTAAAATTCATAGTTGTTTATTTATTTAAATACATGCACAATAGTACAAAGGTCTATATTAAAATATATATGCGCCACACAAATAATTGAATTTCTGAGTGAGTAATGATACTGCTCGTGTGCCCAAGCCGAAGCAGGTAGCTTTCTGAGAAGGCCACTATCCAAGCCTTTGACCCAGGGGTCTAATCCACGAGGTAGTGCGACAATGTTAGGAGATGCAGTCCCATGATAGCCGGTGAGCAACAGTGGGATCAGATGACATTTGTCACCTCAGGATCCTAGAGTACATAAGCAATGCTGCTTTGGAATTAGGGTTTTCCAACGCCCCTAGGTGGGTCCTCCGTACCCACTAACTTGGTTTATACACCGAACATTTCCCTTAGTCCTCTCAATTTCGTAAACAAAAACTGCGCTGCAAGAAGGCAGTGAGTAAGAATTCCTTGACAGTGGCTCTATGCGGATGGCCATACGAGAACATTTCGAGAGGGAGAGCGGACTCTATCAACCCTCAGCCGTACCAGGGCATTTAAGACGCATATTCGGCCAAGAATGTGATAATATACAATAATACCAATGTAAGTTTTCATATGCTTTGATTTAAATAGGTTAATTAGATGTATGAACAAGTAAAAGCTTATAATAAATTAACAGATTATTAAACTATACAAAGTATTTTAGTTAGAAATTGGATAAGCTACGTTGCTGGAAAATTAGGCTAATGGATAAGTGCTTACAATACTCGACCCTCAGACAGTAGATTACAGATCAGAACAATTTTCGGCTAATTAAGAATTTAGCAAGCTGAATAAAATTGCTAAATCTCATGCAAAAAATGTGGCTCAAAATCAGTCAGCCATACGCAGCGTAAAACCTGATACATATGTGCATCAATTCAGATTATTAGGCCACACCATCATAAGAAGATGGAACTATCAAAATGAATACCAAAGTAGTAGAAGTGATAGTACTATTAATAGTAAAAAAAATTCGGTGCAGAGGATATGAATTGAGAAGACTAAATAAATTCACATAATAAAAGGTATGAAACGATTTTGAAAGTTAGTATCTATGAGAATATAAAGGGTGAATACGATTGGTTTTGACCCTTATCATTCATTTCCAACTAATGGTCACGACAATCACGTGAAACCCAACCAGATAGCCTGTACCTACCAAGAATTATCAGATCAACGGTCAGCAACTTCATGTAAAGGTCCTAAATTTTGGTTTCAGTACTCCTAGTTTTATTCTCAACTATACACTAACCTTTACTCAGTAAGTAAGTTACATTTAAAAACTGTTGTAACGGGTGTGCTGCAGGTCAGGGCACTAGGTCGTCCGTACGTGATTACGTGTCACTGTCACAGAAGCGATCGATAATAACGCTGCGTATCAAACCCTGCAGTCACACCCGTTACAACAATTGGCGACGGGGTAGAGAAAATTTTGAACCCTCTAATTGGACGAGATTCAGCATAATTATTTTGACCAATCAGTATCCAGATTTGTCGGCGTCCTTGGGAATTGATTACATATTTCTCATTACTCTGCTGATTCAGAATATGACTATCCCTCCCGATCAATTGCAGCTACTACTAGATCGCCAGCAGCAGCGTTTCAGAGAAAGCCAGTTGAATGTTTTGGACTATTTACGCACGCGACTGCTAGATCTCCCATGTTTCGGAGATGTGAAAGAGATTGACGAATTAATTTCTCACTTACATACTGAACTCGAGAATGACTGCAGGACATATGAAGATGAAAACAAAAGCCTCTATGAATCCCTTATGATCAGTAATGCAAATGAGGCAGTCGCTCATAATCCGTCCAGCGATCCGGGAATGTCCAGTCTAGAAGCATGCCCTGTTGTGGGTTCAAATCCCACTGTTCCTGAAACGTGTACAGACAGTGATGTACCCTGCTCACAGGAAGAAGATCTCTTATTAAATGCTCATAAATTAATTACAGTACCCTCTCACAAGAAAACAGGAAACAAGTCGTGCAGTATACTGAGTCTAGCTGCTCCAAACGGTCCTCATCATTCAACAACAAGAGATTGTGACGAATCTTATTATCTAGATCCTCTTGTACCGGAAAATGTGTTAGATGCACCAAATGATGATCAGAAGCTTAATACAATTTTGATAGATGTTGATTATCTCAGTGATCAATTATTCACAAATGAGATTTTCAAGGAATTCTATGATAATGTTCCAGAAGAATCGAGCGTTGATGACCTCATATCAAGCGACGTTGGCCCCCACTATTTAATCACTTTCAGTGACTTCTCTGTTCAATCTGACAATTATGTGTTAAAGAAAGTCAAATTAATTTTAACTTGGGGATATGAGGACCCAACATTATTTCGTGGGGGAGGATGAACGCAGAAAATTTTAAAATCCAGATATTAACTCCGGATCTTTTTTTTTAAAAAAAAGGGGAGGTGTTAGGTAGTCGGAAAAATAGACCAATAATTATCATGTTAAGTCTAATGGTGTCCTTGGTCCTTAAATGTACATTTCTTATTGGTCGATGTTTACTTCACTTGTTAAATATTGTACAAATGTTGTTTCCTATTTTATGGTACGATGTGATTTGTTTGCTTGGTATATAAATAGAGTATGTTTGAAATACAATGATTCATAACTCCGAGGCTGTGGCTTGTGTTCTTGACTCAACTGGCTAGGACAGACAGCGAAGCAGGGCCAATCAGGGCACTAGGTCGTCCGTGCGTGATTACGTGTCACTGTCACAGAAGCGATCGATAATAACGCTGCGTATCAAACCCTGCAGTCACACCCGTTACAACAAAAACGTAGAAACTAGTTTTGGTAACAATAAAAAGGTGGAAACTGATCTTAATAAAAAATGAAGTAAACTTTTGGCTTACTCTTTTGAATAAATGGAATTTACATTTAATATTCACTCAACAAAATTAAGACTTGGTGAAATATTGTTTGTCAAACGTGTGTACCTCTGACTATCTAAAACTATTCATACAATTTAAAAAACTTTGAAATAACCAAAAGAGCGGGTAGACACAATTTACATTAAAAAATATCACAATTACAAATAAAAAGTAATTTATATTGATGGGTACTCCCTCACTTTATTATCCATGTTAGCAATATTAGTATTTGACTCTGTAGCACCATAAAATTCCCCAATCTGTTTAACATTGAAACGTTCTTGAAATGCTTTCCATATTTGTGGTCGTAGACCATTACCGAATGCGATTCGTACATGATGTTGTTTATCTGTTGGTCTTACAGGTTGACATAAAAGATAACGACATATTTCTCCAATGTATTGAGCAACCTGAAATGGGAAAAAAAGAAATTTGATTTAAAGAGAAAAAAACAATAATTCCAATTTAATTGTAGTTGTTATGAAAATTATTTTAAAAACTATTGGTCAGAAAGTACAGACAAGTGTAAAATGTGTTGTGACGGATAGTGTCTGAAATCTGATACTGATACACTGTGTATTACGCGCTGATCCTTTCCACCCGAATGACTACTTAAGTGAGAAAGTGTACTGGGCTATCAAATAAAATGCACAAATACTAATTCATATATATACCACTCAATTCTTAGGGAATTGACCCATTTCTTAGCCAATGAAATGCATTTATCCTTTAGGTTATCCCTGATTGCCAATGACTGACCTTCTATTACTTCTGGTGGTCTCTCCATATCAAAATAGCTTTTACATAAATCAACTTGATCTGTTACATAGAAGTTTGTAGATATGATTTAACATTCTTGTTTATATTATAGACTGAACCTAGTTGAACAATAATAGAAAAATTAGCAAATAACTATTCAATGCTTCTTGATTTTTAACAGTTGTCTAAATAAGGTTAGCAGTCTGTGATATAAACTTTTTTAAAAAATGAATTCGGCATAAATAACATGGAATCATCATTGAACATTGAATATATAAAGGTTAGGAAATGAAATACAATGAATTGATCGATATAAACAAATCAATGGGAATAAGACAATTTCATTCCATAGTTATATAAGCTAATCTACAAAGTTCAAACTTTTACAAACTAATTTTACATAAGTAACGGGAAATGAAGTGCAATAAAATTGATTTTTAGAGATAATTTACTGATTAATTAATTGATTAATTGGGGATAAAGTAAAGTTCATTGATATATCTTTATTACTTTTCATAACGATGTGACTAATCGAAAGGAAAAACAAAAGGAATATAGTGACTCCGTCATTATATATCTTATTATTATTAATATTAAAACAAGGTTATTATATTGTGGTGTGTACTACTGATGTTGACAGATATAAGTAGTAAGTATCACTAATCGGAAATGGAATACCTTGTGGTAAAAGATTGAGAAAATCGAAGAGAAAAGAACGAGAACAGAGATTGATTAGCATGGAAATGAAGGGGCAACAAACTCGGAGACAATTGATGGATATTTTGCAAATGAAGTATTTAATGTATGGATTTCATAATTTACCACGATCTTCGGTAATGTTGTATTAGAGTACATTTGGTTGTCCCCATTGTTCTCTTCCATCACAATATTAGTTGTCAGTAATATGAATAGTAATAATAATTATTACTATAGTAATGATAATAATAATTAGTAAAAGTCAATTTTACTAATTTATATTAAGAATTGGTGTACAAACTAAGCAAAATTACACTATAAACGAATAATCCATTACTATAATGTACTTTTTATTTAAAAAACAGGTATCCATTTATAGAATAAAGAATAAAGAATGCATTTATTGAAAAACCGATACAAAAGCATTCATAGGCTATTAGTACATATTCAGTAGTTGATTCAATGTGTATAACAAGACGGTTTGAATATTGTATTAGTTATAAATATAGATAAATCGAATTACAATGAACCACCACCGAGTAAGCAACCCTTAGATTAAGAATAGAGTCCAAGGTAAAGATAACAAATAGATTGATGAGGTATTAAATCTTCATCAACTGAAGTGGCTAAGACATGTGTTACCTATACCTAATCACCACATAACTAAACGATTGATGTTTTGTAGTGTAGGAGTAGACTGGAAAAAAAAGGGGCAGCCAAACCAAAACATGGCATTAGTCCATAAAATCACTGGCAATCGGACTAAGCCTTGTTAATAGGCGTAGACTGCCTAGTTGGAATTTGTATGATTATCGTAACCAATGTTTAGAGACTTTGAATGACACGGACCAAAATCATTTGTGATGGCGTAGATGTATGCATTCTTTGTACTACCCCCGAAATCTGAGCTTCTGAATTCTTCATAAATTTTTTTGTTTTTATTTCAATAATTTATATATTCTTGAACTGTATTTTCGATGCCTAATCTTTTTAATCCCTATTCATACTGTCACTACCTCTACTATACTGGGGTTTAGGCTGACAATTTCATCTCTGTGCTAATGGGGTATGTCAACTTGAACAGATGCGAATGAATACTAGGTTCAACACTGTGACCGACTGACATTGAATGGTGATGAATGATCTCATATAATACAACTTATTAGTCTGATTGTCACTTTCTCCATAAACAAAAGTTATAAAATTAATTTAAGGGGTTTATGGAGATAGTTGAACACGAAATGGTGAACTTTAACCGTACAGTTGTTTACCAATCGCACTGGAAGATGATTGAGTTATATTGACAATTAATTATGATTAAAAGTGTAAATTATTCGATGTCAACTCAGTGGTCTAAAAGTTCAGAGCTCAAGGTAAAAGACGAAGACATTAGCTTAAATCAACAGTACAATCGTTGATATACACTTCTGAGAAAGCAATTGTTTAATACATCCTAGTTTTTAATGACTGTCTAACTAAGGTTAGTTCAGATATCAACTAAAAACGTTGTAGAAGCTAAACAGATATATCCGCCTTCTTATGATCAGTTTAATACTTCCATCTAAGAATGATAGGATGTACAGTAAAACAAAAACAATCAGAAAATTAATTTATAGAAGAAATGAACATTATGAAAGGTTACACTAATATATAGCATATTCTTGTCATAATTACGTCAAAATTTGACCCATTGTTCATATACATACATGAACAAATGCTGTTATGATTCATTATTAATACAAACAGATACATCAAACGCCAGCGCATTTCAAAAACATGTAGTTGCATTTGTAAAGCAAAGAAAATTTAATGAAGCAAATACTACTACTACTACTACTAATAATAATAATAATAATAATAATAATAATAAACGCTATTCCAATACTATAAAACAAAGCAAAACAGTTGTTTAGAGTATCATCAACGATAGCGCACTTTTTATGACAGTTTCATTGATTTGCAAACTGTTCAATAAGATTATTTACCAAGTTAATGATGGAATAATTAAAAGAAGTAATTTTTAAAAATATAAAAGAACTAGTCAATTCATTAAGTGTATTTAAACTAAAGAGAAATTAAAACCATAACATTTCTAAGGAAACATTGAACTGATATAGTATAGCTAATATGTTTATCGTACAATAAAATAAATGATCATAATGAAATTTCCCATTCAGATATTTAATAAAAGGATAAACCTATTAAAGTAATACCAATCACTAAAGCCATAATATTGTTATTTATTTATTTATTTATTTATTTATTTATTCATATCTTAGGATAATTATCACTTTGTTCAATTGTTTTGTTAACTATTCATAATTATTTTCATAAACAGGTGAAATTATAATGCAGTTTAATATATTACTACATGGTTGATATATTTTACGATTATTAACATTACTATAATTATTATTATTGCTATTACTAAATATAACTATATTACAATATTTGAAATCATGAGTCAATTGAAGCTAGACCACCATGGAAAACCTGGAAGCACTGGACGACCGTTTCGTTCTAGTATGGGACTCCTCAGCAGTGCGCATACACGACCCCGCCCCCCCCCGCGAGATTTGAACCCAGAATTTATTAGTCTCGCGCGTGAGCGCTTAACTATATTAGTGTATAGACTTGATGAAAGACTAGTTGAAAAGAAATATTTCTTTGTCCTATTCGTCTGTTTTAATAAATGATGAACCAAGGTCAAAAATTAAGGTTAAAAAGTAGTAATTACTTTTGCTTATTGTAATACACATAAACGAGAATTAGATGAAAGCAATAAATAAACAAACCAGTAACACAAAAAGATATAAATATTACAAGAAAATAAGTATTAAATGTAAAAATCAGTACTTAATACTAGTAATAATAATTACAGAATTCACGTCAGTTTAAAAGCATGATCAATTTGACATAAATAGTAGCATACTATCACCTCTAGTTGGGGTACGAACCCACTGTGACCAGCAGTGCATGTTAATGGTTGCCGAGACCTAATCATTACATGACCGACAACTACCGGTACACCAGTTAATCCCAGGATAATTGAAATCCCCAGTGATAACCTTAGCATTAAAGTTTAGAGCAGATGCATGTATGAATGCATTGATAATAAGATCATTCCCATTAATCGAACTATCAGGGGCTCTGTATATATATACAAGGAGTAGACTATGACTCACGGTGTTGACTGACATCCAGACTGATTCTGGTAAACTATTCAAAACACTATCTTCAACTTTATTAGTTGTTAGAGTATCAAAAGCATATACAATACAACCACCTCCTCTCTTAATTTCTGTCACAGAGATAGAGTCTATAGCTCTGGATATTTAATTCTGAATCAGATACTGCATGAGAGCACCATGTTTCAGTGATAAATATGAAATAAGGCTTGACTAGGAAGGCTAATGTTCTCAAGGCTGAAATTTTGTTCAGAGGTGAACGTGAATTGATAAGTAATAAGTTGAAAAAGGAAGTATGGAATGTAAAAAAACCGAGAGCTTCCCTATTGATGTTGTGTATTTTGAATTTGCATAGACTGTGGTTTATTTTGTTTGACTGATCATATGGGCTATCGCTTGAACAAACTGTAGTGCTAGTGAGAACAGGAACTTCTGAAGGCCGAAAAAATCGTTATTTTGATAAAGTGGATTAATTTGTTGAACCTGACTAGGCGGACAGTTAAGACAAGCACCTGCTAGTTGGGGTTGAGTTGATGATGGGTAACCTAGTAATCCATCTTGCCCAATGGAAGTGTTGAGAAAAGCTACGTCTTACAGGTTTATTATTTTAAACGTCTAAGACTTATGTACTAATCTGTGTTTATATAGTGATACTGTAGTGAACAAGAACAAGAGTGGGGAAAATCGAATGTATTTGACACGGAGTTACAGAGCATCTTACTAAAATCTAAGAACCATATAGCAAAAATTTAATTTGCAAAATATCA